TAAAGAAAGAGACACAGACACACACAGTGACTCCTGGCCCATTGGTGAGCCCAGCAGGCACCCCACCATGGCCTCAGCAGGTCACCACTTCCCCGTCCTACCCCTATTCAAACGTCAATTGCTTAGGCACTGATCACCTGCTGAAGTCAGGGAACGAACATAACACAAGCACAGGCCATTCTTACTGTGCAGGAGTGGAGGGACCTAGCAATTAAGTACCTGTATTTAATTTGGATTTTGAGACCAGAATAAGACCTCAATAAATGTTTGCTAAACGCACGGGTGAACGAACAATTTGCTTGTGGTGTCGGGGCCTTTATTTAGGATCATTATGTAGACGACCACTCACATCCAGGCCTTGATTTGCCCCTGGATGACAGGGCACCTCCAGAAGAGCACAAACTTTCGAGCTGGTAGAACCTAAAACTTCACCGTGGCTTTGTCTCCTGCCAATTCTATGACCTGGCTTATGCCACCTGACTTCTTGGCTTGCTCCTTCACCACCACACACTGCTCTAGGTGCTTGTGGGATTAAGATAATTACAAAAGAACTGCCAGGCCATGCTGCCACACCTCGTTCACGCTACTTCCGTCTCCAGGCCATCCTCCCTCACCATGTCCCTGGCCATCCAAGGGTGGCACAGAGTGGGGGAGCATGTGCTAGACAGAAGGTGCTCCTTAGTCCAGTGACTGGTACTGCACCGTCCCCTTATTTTCTTAGTCCTTAGCAAATGTCTTCGAACTTCACGGTTCAAGGAAGGGGGATCAGGTTTCAGTATCTGATCACTGCCAGAGGCCATGCTCCGACACTAATTTCATCTTTCTCCTTTTACATTAGCGCTTCCGTTCCATTAACAAAAATATTTCCTTTGGAAGCTATGAAAAAGCTTGTTCTTGAACCATAAGTGGAGAGATAAGCAGAATGTTCTAGACCTGTCCATCACAGGTTTTTTGAAACTGCCCTCCTCCTGAAGCCTGTACCTGCTATAGCTAAGGGCCCAGGATGCCCATCTGTACTTTCTAACCAGCCTCTGGACTGGATCATGGGTCAGCACCAGCCCAGAGAGGAATCATCGCATGGTCGGGGCCAGTCAGATCATCTCCTTCCCACAGCAATTTGAACTAAGAGATCCAGAGCCGAAGTAGATGGTTTCAAGCCCTGAGAAGTACAGCCTTGAGAAGCTGGGGACAGAAGCAGTACCAGGCTAAGGCAAGCAGACGTCATGAGCAAACAGAAACCAAAAGCTGAAATGTACTGAAAGCAGCAGAGACAGGAGACCTCACGATCTCTGAGACAGAGACAGAGACAGAGACAGACAGGGGAACAGCTGCCCTGACTCCCCATTTCCTATAAAGCCTGACCTTCCTGCTGTTGGCTCCGTAAGATCTGTCTGTTGTATACGAATGATCCCTATTTATTCTTGAGCTTCTGTTGCATGAGCTTCTGCACGTGTAATCACATAAACTTCGACCAAGACACATCTCTGTGTGTTCTTCCCAAGCATCATTCTCTCTTCCCCCTCATGGCCCCTAGATGTCACAAAAACAGACATTCACAGCTGCCGGAACCTGGGCCAAGGAGGTGTGCTTTGATCTCATATCCTTTGCAAAACAACACAGAAACCTTGCTGACTCCCGATTACTGTTTCTCAATAAGGAAGAGTTTATTACAGGTTGGGTACACTTGTAGGAAGCAAAAATCTAACAATGAGAATGAACTACAGGGCCCACCAGTTTAGAAGATGAACAGATAAAACAAATACACTGATTATGTACAATTATCAAAAAGAGCAGGGTGGTGGGAAAAAGGAAAAACTGCCAGCAGCCTTCCAGAAGGTTAGTAACAGAGGATGTCTGTGGAGCACCTTCCCACACAGTCCCAACTGGGCCTCGGGGCGTCTCCTCAGCTGCGTCTGCCCCACTCCAGATGAAAAGCAGCAACGACAGGAGACACTGGGGGCTTCTCAAGACACCCGGTTTATCTTGCTCTGCTAGTAGCTGGCTTGCTGAGGAGAAAATGCCTCGGCCCCAGGTGATGCCACAGGCGCCAAGCCTTTCATTACACAGCCCAGAGGACAACGTCAGTAGCGTTTCTTAATATCTATGGGGAAGAGCTGGAGGAAAACACACACGTCTAGGGAAGAAAGCGCCTAACCTTCCCCTGTGGTCTGTATACAAATAAATACCCAGTGTTGTCTTAAGCGGGCCCAGTGCCCAGGCTGTCGGGTGGGCTGCTTCTTCCAGCCTCTGAAAGCACTTCTTGAAGCACGTCTGGAATTAGTGTCCCATGACCAGATTGTCCCCTTAGGTGCTCATTTCTTCTGTTAGAAAGCCAGTCCTCCAACCCCCATCAGCAGAGGAAGATGCCATGTCACCTCTCACAGGACACCCACAAAGGGACAAATGCAGCTCTAAGTTCTTTGTAAGAAAAAAGGGAGCCCTCTGAGTTTACTGAAAGGGAGAGGTCTTGGTTCGTCCAAAGTATGTCTATAAAAATGCATTAAATGCTGGGTAAAGTTGCACATTCTCCTGATGACGCTGCAGAATGTCCATTGAACTGAAAATACAGATAATTTAAAACCAGCCACTCTGAATATCTGTCACCAAAGCTGACACTGCGTATGACACCTCCAAGAACTGGAGGACAGAGCCCCGACTGTGAAATGAGGCCAAGCCCCTAGCCCTGGGCTGCTGGTTCCTGGTAGCCCTCGGAAGGTGCCAGCAAACTTAGAGCAGTCAGCAGAGAAAGGCTCTTCAGCGGGAGGGCGGCCCCGCGCGCGCGCGCAGTGGGCTCCGGCCTGTCTGCCCGGGGTCAGTCACGGTGGCGGCGCCAGGTCCCTGCCCGCTCATAGCCAGTGGCAGCAGGAGGGCAGGGGGAGGTGGGAGATTCCGGAGGGGTAGGGGCCAGGGCTGCCGCCCCGGACACTGGGGCCTCCTCGGCCGAGGGCGGAACTGGAGAGGTCGGCTCCATCCCAGGTCGGCTGCTGTCCTGACAGTGCTTGCTGCAGAAAATCTGCCCCTCCTTATCTAGAGCCGTGTTCTGAGGAGAAACCAGCGGAGACAACACATTAGCCGGGCTGGCTCGGGTCACAGGCACCACGAGAGCGCACAACAGAGCATGCACGGGACTCGGAAACAGAAGAGGAGAAATAACATGGAGCTTCCCTTCTAACAGAAACCGAAGAGAACAGCAGCGGCTCAGGGCACCCACGCTCGGCAGCCGGCCGCACTTGGCCTCTGCTCCCACTGCTCGGTGTCAGCGGGCCCTGGACGGCAGCCTGGGGTCATTCCTTCCTGGCTCTGAGCTGTGCCTGAGTTCTGAGAGCTTCTTCCCGTGCCCACATCTTGAGCCCCAAAGAATCCTGGGACAATAAGAAAATCCTACAGGAATGTTAGGGTGTTGACAGTTAACTTCTCTAAAGAAAGTTCTCCACCACAGATCGAAAAGTTACTCATATGTCATATAATAATCCCCTTACAACTCATGTGGCTGCATAATCTATAAAAGCCCCAAGAAACCAACGGTGCAATATTACCTATTTTTAGATCTGCCACAATCTCACCTGTTCTTCTCTTCCTGCGTGTTGTTTTTTGTTGTTTTTTTTAATGTTGTCACACCCTCAAAGTTTTCAATCTGCTCATCTCCTCAGGGAGCACAGGAACAGCCACAAACAGGAGGAAATCACTTTGCTTTCAGGCCCTAGACCAGGAAGTGAGACCTAGTCTTTTCTCCTCCTCAACTCAGTTTGAGTATTTCTTGCTTGTCCATGAAACACAAGCCAGCTGTCATCTCACTGAGTTTTCCAAATACGGGGGAGCTTTCAGTTCTCAGGCACCTTTAGCTAAAAGGCACCATGATCAGAAAGCGTTCTGTAATCTAATGACTCTGGGGGAAAATGTACCTCCAATTTTTTCAGTACTCTGACTAAAAAAAAAAAAAAAACAAAAAATAGAAGTCTGGGGAAAATATAAATAAACAACAGGGCTTTCTAAGATAGACTTGTGTGGCTGCCTTCAGGGCACTGGGTGTCAACTGTGAAATAGGTGTTCTCCACAGGTCCTCCCCAGCTCAAGCTGAACATCCGGTAATTTCCAAGGACAATTTCAACTGCCTGGAGAAGAGGTAACTGTGGAAAAGCCAAATCAGGAACTCAGCATCGCTCTTGAACAAGCTTCCAAGCGCCTAGTACAAGAGGAGGCCAAGACACCCCTCAGCAAAAACACTGAAAAGGGAGAGAGGCAGCGTTCACTTTTTCTACCACGGAATTTCTCCTGGGTAGAGGAAACCAATTCTCCGGTTATTTCTCCTTTTCTCTTCCTGTCAAGAGACCACGTATGTGTGCGGCAGAACAAAGCTTTGCAGTGCAGTTAGTACATACCATTGCCTTGGACCTAGTCAGAGGGAAGCAATGCAGGCAGCGAGAGAGGCAGGAGAAGGGAGGAGAGAAGCGGGGACAGAAACTAGACTTACTTTAAACAGAAGAAACATAAGTGAAACAGTTTTGTCTATCTTAAATTAAGCCCAAATCATTCCCAATTTCCCCCAGAAAGAAGCATAATCCTCCTGAGCAGGGAAAGCATTCCACTTGAATCCGTCCTTTCTCAAGTCGGCGACGAGAAGCAGCGTGAGCTTTCTTATAATTCCCTTTCCTGCCACAAGATGGCCTCTTCTAGTCCATGAGGCTGGGATGTGCCCACTGGGATAAACAACTAGCCGGTCTGCAAATGCACTGTCCTTTCCCAAGTAGCCCAAGGACAAGCCAAGGAAAATGCAAGTGCAATCCTAAATCACAGGCCTGTCTTAAACCAAAACCTTGTCCAATATAATTCTCTTCTCTTATCCTGAAAGCTAGATGACTCTACACTGTCTTACTGAAAATAAAGCACCTTTGGAAATGTAGTTGGAGAAAGAGAACAAAAGCTTTCACAAAGGTACCCATCTTACGCTGTCATTCACAAAAAGATGCTCTTTCACCTAAGTGGAAAACAGTGGTTAGCAGAACTCACGGAGTCCCCTCCCATGCACTCGCCAGCTTTAGATCTGGGAAGGAAGGCAATGTGGCAAGCTGAAGTTGTGAGAATTTTCCAAGGCTGTGCTTGGCTGGCTGAAAAGGATGTCAGTGGTACAGGAGACCCGCATCGATAAGAAGCCAAGAGCTGGACGCTGGTGTCAGAAGTCTGAGACAAGCAGGCAGGTTTAAGAGGGGCTGGGAATTAGAAGTGCCTCTGATTAAGCACAACATGTTGAATACCAGAATTCTGCTTCAGGAGTCCCCACAGTCTCAACTGGGTAAAGAGTGAAACTCTGAAGCATCTCTCAAACTGTCAAATCAAACTGTCAAATAAAATGCAGACAACAGCATCAACTTTACCATCTTTCACCGTTATTTATCATTCCTAGCCTGTAATTTTCTCACCATGAGCCTCAGGCACCGATGTTAGGGGCTAAGGTGGAGAGAACACTAGGGGTGACAGTTGAGACTAAGGTTCTGTCTGTCAGTCACACAACAGTTATCTGAGGATTCCACCTCAGAACCATTACACACTATTTCCACTACTACTGTATCTGTAGGAAACCATATTAGCTTCACATACTCTAGTTATGAGAACACATAAATACCAGAGAGAGTCATTTGTGATTATTTTTAATATAAAAACATTTAAAACTTCCCACGGAGAGGACACACAGACACATAGTGAGGGGAAGAGGATGAGGATGACGACACGGAAGCATCGCAAGCTGCCCCCACACAACCATGCCCCGGGCCAGGTCCTCCACTGGATGAGGATTAGCAGGACATCCCCAGGGAGGCCTTCTCACCACTGCTTTTGGGGACAAGCCAAAATTCACAGGCTGGCCTTTTGGCTATGGAGAATTGGTACCTCCAGAGACAAGCGTCATTGATTTCTCCCGTGGGTACTGACTGTGATAACATCACTGCGCAGCTCCTCAGAGCTAACAACCTGCAGAGTTGTGTAGGGAACATGGGGTTGATGGAACTCTGCCAACATGCTCAAAATGACAACTGAAAACACATGTGAACACACCACTTTTACAATCACCATTGGAATTACAAATAATAAAGGGTTGTTCATTCACACAAAATCCGGTTAAAGCTCAATGGTTTGAAATTTGACTGTTGAACTCCATCAGCAAAGGGAAAAATGCCATTTGTAAACCATACAATATAGGTTCTGTCTGAGGGGGTCTAAATGTCATTATCCAGAAAAGAGCCTCTATTGGGCCATAAGACAGACGGGCCGGATCATTCCAGAACGTTGGCAAGCCACAGGCTTTGGGCCTGATTCCTATCTGGGTCCTGACTCGACAGGTGACCCAGGCAATGATGGTGAAACTCTCGTTAGCCCTGGGCACAGTTCTGTGAAGTTTCTTCCTCTAGGAGACTATGAAGCTTAACTAATACACGGTTATTAAATTTTGATTCTAACAAATCACATTTCTTAAGGTTTTTCATTACATGTCAAAGGTGTCATTTTTTTTTTTTTTTGGTGAGGAAGATCAGCCCTGAGCTAACATCCATGCTAATCCTCCTCTTTTTTTTTTTTGCTGAGGAAGACCAGCTCTGAGCTAACATCTATTGCCAATCCTCCTCCTTTTTTTCCCCCCAAGCCCCAGTAGATAGTTGTATGTCATAGTTGCACATCCTTCTAGTTGCTGTGAGACGCGGCCTCAGCATGGCCGAAGAAGTGGTGCATCGGTGCACGCCCGGGATCCGAACCCGGGCCGCCAGTAGCGGAGCGCGCACACTTAACTGCTAAGCCACGGGGCCTAAGGGTGCCCATTTTTAATGTTTTTATTTTTCTAAATTTTCCCAGAAGCTGCCTTACAACGCAGCATGCAGCAAGGCTGTGTGTTCCTATCCCATCCATCAGTGCTTGCTCTCATAAGTGAATCACTTGAAAATGTTCTCATGCTGTTGGCTCAATCAAGATGGTTCTTTTCAAAGTGTTTCAGCTATAATTCTGTGACAACTCTGACTTTCTCAGGCTTTCAGCAGAGCACAGCTAAAATGCTAGGGAAACCACAACTCAAGAGGCCTTCCCATTATTTTGGCACAGAGCACCCCGAAGTCCTGCAACATGTCAAAAGACCCAGTTTGCAGGCTTTGTCTGGGGGAGGGAAGTGGGGGAGAGAGCATGCTTTCCAGCAGGGGAGGAGGGAGAGAATTGCAAGGACATACAGATGGCTGCCAAATAAATGCAGCTGCCTCTGGGGGCGAGAGAATGACAGACCAGCGGGTGCTAAGAAGGTGGTGGATGCTCCACACACATACCGCAGCATTCTGTATTCATGAGGGGGTGTGTGGGTGGTATCCCTCAAGTATCTGTGTGGATGCCACATCTTCCTAGCTAAGTTCCTAGACTATAACGTGCCATAAGAGTAAGCAATGGTTTTCCTTCTAGTTGGGTAGGAAACAAATTAAACCTTTCCAGAGGGAGAGAGGCTCATCCTGAGGTAAGAGTGATGGAGATGTGGAGACGGCCCATCACCAGCTGTCAGGCTCCCAGGTGGCCTTATGTGCCACTAAGACCCCACATTGTCAGGGGTGACCAAGGCGCTAACAATTCAGGCACCCGTCTTCTCAGAAAGTCTGATTCTGAAGCCGTCTCAGTTGACTGGCTCTGGGATGGCAATCCCTCTCCTGCTCCCTGATCCTGTGCGTGGGGTGGGCAGAAAGGAGATCACGGCCTGAGACTCTGGTTGCTTGGTACCCGGGCACCCTAACAGGTGGGCAGACACTCAGAGCTGCTTTATGGCCCCACTTCAGCAAGGACTCAGGCCTGCACAGCTGGTGTTGAATGTGCTGACTGCACTTCTGGCTCAATTTTATTTTTTCTGCCCTTATTTTCCCTTTTTCTGAACTTACTTTAATGTTACTTTACTTATTTTAATGCCACTTTTAATTTGATGTGTTTATGGGTTTAGGTAAGCTGCCATAAAAAACATTTTGGAGGAAGAAAGGTCTGAAAAAATAGGAGAATCATTGTTATTGACTTATAAAATTTACCAACCTTGAAAAAAACTAGTATTTTTTTTACGTTGTTCTATACTTCTGATTTTTTTAATGGAATTTGTTTAAGTTTGGCTGTTTCTTATCCCAAGTCCCAAAGAATAATTCAAATAATCTCAAATAATCTATTTTTGAAGCCTTGAGTAGGCAGGGAGTTACTTCCTTATGCTTGGGAATCCTTCTCTAGATGAGAAAGTAGACACGAGAGTAGAAGCAGCTGCCCGGGAGGGCGCCGAGCACAGAAGAGGTCAGGGGCGCCTCAGCACCTGGGCCCATCAGCCTGGCCTTGCTGGTACCTGCACAACCCCTATCCCAGGACTCAAGGCCTGGAAGTCGGCCAGATGGGTGCACTTCATTTGCCAAGCCAATCCTGAAGTGAAAAGAGGAACATGGAAGGAGCCAACTTCCATGTGTGGGAAGCTCTTGGTTATTTACTTCAAAAGATTCAATGCTGGCTGAGCAGTCAGGCCAGACACTGCAACTTTCCAACAGCAGAACCATGCCTTCCACTTACCATGATAACAGATACCCCGGTGGTGGTGCTGTTCTGTTTGGGGAGCGCATTATTAAAGTGCTGTTTTAGTTTACCTGTTACTTCAGCTTGCATATTATTCTCCTGGGAGGCATCATCCTACAGAAAAGAAACAAATACCATGATTTTTGATCCTCACATCTAAGTTGTCTTTTCCTTAACAGTCACACACACCCCCATCCCCACCATCTTTTCCTAAATGGGCCCATCTTAGCCACAAGGTTAGGGGAACTATGACTTTTTAAAAATAATTACTGCTAGTCAGCTGTCCCATGCCCTCAGAAAGACCTCAGACTACTTACTCCACTCCTTAGGTCTAGAGTAGTCCAAGGAGAGAGTAAAGGTCTCCAGCAGCATGAGGAGGACATTCTTCAGACCTCTGAGACTCTCCCCAAAGGCACAAATGCCACATAATGTAGTACAGATTCCTCCCATGGAAACATCAAAATTAACGAGAAGTTTATCATTTTAATCAAGAATTCAGTTAATTAGTCTTTATCGCTCATAAAGAAATGTGGCATTCTCAGCTACTTGGTCTAGGAGCCAAGGCACTTAGCAGAATCCAGAGAGGCTGAACCCAGATGTCAGGATGTGTGGGACAGTGGAGGTGCACAGGGATCCCCCTCTCCGCCCCCAAGTCAGCAAAAGCCCTTCGCCAAGTAAATTAACTTCACTCTCCTGGAGCCTCCAGGAATGAGGGAAATGCAATCTCTCTCACCATCACCATTTAGTGGATCGTGTTTACCCTAAACCCAGAGGCTCCACCTAAGCCCAAAGGACTTAGTCAACATCACACCCCCTCTGCCTGGCTCTGGAAGGGACTGTGTCTCAGCCTCCCCACCCACAGCAGGAGGTCTCCTGTGACTATGTGCCACGAAGACACAGAGATCAGGTCTAAAACATGCTCATCTCTGGGCAAATCCTGAAAACTCTCAAACCCCAGAACCACAGAAGGCAAAAGCTGAAAGCCTCCTTAGAGAACATCCCAGCCAACCCTTCATTTTGCAGATGAGGAAACTGAGGCCCAGAAAGGGACCATGACTTGCCCAGGTCACTCACAGAGCACGATTGAATACTCCAGGATCCTGGTTCCAACTGCTTTCTCCCAAAGAGCTATCTTCATGCTACTCGACGATTAGAGAAGACAGCCATTTTATCTGCCATGGAACTTGGATGCGCAGCTTTGCATACGCAAAAGCCACGGGGAGGAAGCATGCTGTTGGCCACAGACATACAGATGTTCATTCCCTGGGAATGTGGGTACTTACTGACACCCAGGGGTGACTCAGGATTTGTCCTGCGGTACACCGAGCTTCAACGTTTACCTGAAGCATTTGACTGATTAACTCCTGGAAAGAAATAAAGACGACCATGGAGGAGACAAAAGGGGGTAATTCCAGCAGAAATACAGAATCTGGGTTTGCACTAAGTACTTCAAAGAACAGCCAACACAGCTGCTCAGCCATTTGAACTTAAAAGCTATTATCACCCACACTCCAAGTGCCTACTAGGCAATTATGCAGGCACAGCTGCTTCACGTCAGCAGCAGTGTGAGAGAAGAGAAGGTCTCTCCTGAGTCTACATTAAACCAAAATGTTCTCTCCTAAGAGTTCTGGTCATTATCATCATTCCACAGTGTAAAACTGCAGTATTGTTCCTTTCGGCAATTCAGTATGTCTCAAGTCCATTCCAATACTTTGATGGGTGTCCAAAATATATTTCTTGGGTAAATGAAAGAACGAATGCTTAGGGCTCAGAGGAGCACAGGAGGATGGTAGGGGCAAACTGGGAAGACAGCCAGTGAAGCTTTCAGAATTCAGTTATGAGTTTCAGAGACTATACTGTGGAATGAACTTAAAGAACCACCACACATTAAAAGTCAAGACAGACCTGGAGCTCAAATCCAAGAGCTGCAACAGCCCCACGCTGGGTAAGGACCCCTCGACAGAATGCAACCCACAGAAACAGGTGTAGATGGGTACCTTTGCCGAGTCCGTGATGTTATCCCAGTAGGGGGCTGGAAACTCCAGCTTCCCAGCCAAGATCTGGTCGAAGAGATCTTCTTGGAGATTGTTCTCACTAAGTCAGTGACAAAGAAATGGAAGGAGAATCACAGTCACCACACAGTTTTTCAACAAAGTGCTCACAGGAAGAGTGAGGAGAAGAGTCCAGTCTCCTTGGCTTGGGCATTTCATATCTCAATTGTGGATCTCAACTGCATTTGTGATGACACATTTCTCCTTTTAGACAATGAGCTAAAGAACATTTCCATACGCCTGGGGATCAGAGAGTGAGAAAGAAGACAAGACTCGAGAAATTTGTTTAGTGGGTATATAGAGTTTCAGCTTGGGAAGATAAAGGAGTTCTGGAGATGGATGGTGGTGATGGTTGCACAACATTGTGAATGTAGTTAACTCCACTGAACTATAAATTTAAAAATGGTTAAAATAGTAAATGGTATGTTATGTATATTTTGCCACAATAAAAAAGGACTCAAGAGAAAAAATGGAATCCACAACTAATGTAAATCCTCATTTCAGGAAAAACAATCTCAGCATCTGCCCTCACTTAATCTCTCATGGCAGTAAGAGTGGAAAAGCAGCATATCTGAGTCAGATCTCCTTGCCATTCCTCTTTCTACTTTTCCAATAAAACAGCCAAAGATTAGTGAAACAGCTAACATATGAAAAAGTCAGAAGGAGTTCAGAATCTGGGTAAAACATTCACGACATAATTAGCTCCTGCTGGAACTTGACTTTCATTTAAGCTTACTCTGAGAGAAAGAGCTCATCCAAGGACACCAACTAGAATTGCACAGGTTGAAGGAAACCCACCTCACTGCCTCTAGGTGGGCATCCCTCTCCAACCATGTCCCACCCTCACATATGCACTCGCACACATAGCTGGTGCCTAACAAATAAATGACGACTTGACTTTTGATGTAAGGTGCCATGGAAATGTGAAAACACTGCTGGGAAAAATTCAGGAAGCTGGACGTCCCCAACTTCCCAAAAAACTGCATCTCCACAGCCACAGAGCCCCCCTCACTTGGTGGGCGCATCAACGACCAGAGTAAGAACCAAGTCATTAGCTTTGTTGGCCATTAAAAAGCTCTAGTAGAAAACTCAGGATGGGCTGTGGGAGTCAAGATCAAAATCCAGGAGTGGAAGTTCAGTCTCACCTGGCAAGTACGTAAGCAACATTTCTCGTGGAGTTCCCAACAGGACCCCCGCAGCCTATTACTCAGGGTGCTCACATGGGACTAACCAGCCTTCTGGACGGGCACCTGGTCATGCTACCAACCCTCTCAGAGTGGGCAAGGACAAGTGTGGTGTCCCTAGAAATAGATCATTTAGGGCAGTGTCTAGAGACAAATTCTGCAGCTGTGTGATGACATGGCTGCCTCACTCCTGTTCTGTGAAAAAGAGGCGAGTTTGTGAGCTTTGTGAATACCCAGGACACCTCACCAAGCCCAGCTGAATCGACCTCTGCTGGTCCAAGAAGTCTGGGCCAAGAGGCACACTGAGAAGCACGCCAGGCCAGATACCCAGGAAAGGCAAGAGATTCCCACTGCTCTCCTGAAAAGTGCTTCTCTTTGAGTGGGTACAAACTGTTTCTTTCTAGGTGTCTAAATGATCTCTTTTCTTTTCACTGTTATTTCCCTACTGACTGAACTTGGCTCAACTCTCCTTCAAAATAAGTGAAGGACGCCTGTAAGAACACAATGAGATTTTACAGACACCTCTAGAAAAACAAAGGACCACAGGAGACAATGTTAGAAGAAAATATAAAAATCATCTATTTCCAGAATTGTTCCTTTTAGCCATCCCTCTCCATTACTCTGCTCATCCTCCTTTTCCTTTTTTCTGGAATCTCAAATAACTTATACTTCGTTAATATATATGGCTTTTATTTTGTTGATAAACAGCTAAAAAGTTAGAAGTCTGTCTGCAGCAGTCATTTAGGTTCTTGGCAAAGTAGCCTGAGTCAACAAACAAAACCCTAGGATGACTCGGCAATTAGAATGCACCCCAAAGGATCCATACTGTGAGCTGCAAGAGCTCTGAGAATTTCCGGCTGCCCTTCACTAGGAGAACAGAAAGCTGAAGATAATTTATCTTCCTTAGTAGTCACATAATAAGAGCCCCTCTGATTAAGTCTACACTGGATTTATTAACACATTTATACGCTACAGTCTGGCTGAGATGCTTCAGGGTACTTTTTTATTCTAAAATAATATAGCCCCTGAATCAAGGTGCTGTAAGTCTAAGATGTCCATTAAGAAAAACCCTGAAAACAAAAGAATTTGCAAACACTCTCTCTTTTCAATGACAAGCTGTTAAAGGTCTGACAAGGTAATCTGAAAATGTTGTAAGCTTTTTCACAAACGACGTTCAAACATTTCACTTATGGGGTGCGTGTGTGTTTAAGAGAAACATCAAAAATCTCAGTATAGTCATGCAAATATTACTTTTTGTCAGTCGCCCTAAGAACAGACTTGCTTAGGCAATAACTAAAATGTCTGCTGCCTCTGGAAAACCAATATGCTTAGTAATAATGAATCTACTGTTGAAAAGACTGGAGGGAGAATACTTGTCAAGCTAAGACTAAAGACTGAAAGAAGCAAGCATGAGTTGTTCCAGTCAAAGAAGCTGACACTGTAAATTCCAAGTCATAATTTTAGTTAAAAAGCTTCGGGTTAAAATCATCTTTGGAAAAAACAAAGAAAATATTTTGAAATATCTGTTTGAAAGACTTTTAGGTACAAATTTATGTAGACAATCTATTTTATACTATAGTCATTTATCATTATTTAAAATATCATTTCCATAATTTGCTATATATATTTTTATATTATAGTAGGTTATGAAATCTCTCCAGAATGTCTCTTCATGCTGTGAAGATGCTCTGTACCTAGTATTTATCATTATAGATTCTTTCATCACAACATATGAAAGAGGGAAAGTATTTTCAACATTTCAAAAGTAAGCTACCTGGAGTGGTAGGACTAGCTTTGAATACAACATATAAGGGCAGCAGCTTTCAGAATATAGCTTTACTGCTTTTGATTAGCCAGACTTATCTCCAGACCCCATAAAGAAGCTGCTGTCCCTTGGGTAATAAGTCACGATAAATACACACTGCTCAATCTGACTCTCATTTTTGTTAAAAAGTAAAAAGCAAAGTCCAAGAAAAAATTCCCAGGCTGCACTGGCAAGTGGAAACACTAGAGGGAGTTGTGAGCACACACTCCTCTAAAATTGATATCTGATACCCTTTTCCTACTGGAAAACTTGGGTTAACTTGGGTTAACCAAGGAAAGAGGGGAACTCTGCTGTAACTGGCCCCAGGATCACCTGCTATCAAAACACACTACCCTCTGCTCTTGACTACGTCCCCAAACAGGTCATCAGGGAAACCAGCCAGGGAACAGTGTGATTGTAAAAATGGCCACAAATTACTCCCCTCCATCTATGTCCACACTTCTCCCACATTTAGTCTAGGCTTAGCTATTTGACTTCATTTGGTCAATGGAGCATCAATGAACAAATCTGAGGTGAACAGAGACTTGGAAAGTGCTTGGGCAGTGGAACTTCCCTTTCTCCAACTGCTTTTGGGGATCCTATATCCACCATCACGTGAAGCCCAGGCTAGCCCAATGGATGCTGAAAGCCAAGTCTTATCTGTTGTCCCAGCGGACAATGAGCCAACTACCAGGCATGTGAGTGAGGCCATTCTGGATCACCAAGCCCTCACCGTGCCAGCCCAGAGCAGAAGAACCACCCAGCTGAGCCACAGAATTGACTGACACCCCTAACTTTTGGGGTAGTTTGTTATTCAGCAAAAGCTAACTGATATGTGTAGTCATCCTACAGTCTGTGTAATCCACTTAGGCCAGGACCTTGATGGAAGACCATGATGTTGATGGCCAGATGGAAAGACCTTCCCATCCATAGAACCCAACCCATGCCACAAAGACAAAGTCCCACTCAAGTGCCATATCTTTCATTAAACCTTTGTGATTTCCAGCCTTCAGTTAAGCATGTCCTCACGCTCAGTTTATTCTTCTTGACTAATATTCTTGTGATGTGTGTCTTTGCTCCACAGGGTCTAAAAAGTAGACTGACATTTCTGTCAGTCTTGTGTTTACTGTAACGTCAATAAAAAAATTGTTCAACTCAACTGAAAATTCATAATTGAAAAAAGATAAACCTTTCAACTTTTCTGTATGTTTGAAAGTTTTTGTAATAAAATGTTGGAGCTGTGTGAAATAAACCTATTTTTCACTTACTGACTCAATAGTACACTATAAGCACCATGACCTCAGAGATTACATTGGGCTCACCACTTGATTCCCAGCACTTAGAACAGTGCCTGGTGCACAGCAGCTACTCAACAAATAGTTGTAAAATGAATAAAAGAAGGGATTAAAATGAAAAGAGAGCTCAAGAAAACTCAGAAGAAAATGAAACATGCATCATTAGATGAACTCCTGCTTCAAAGTCATTCATTTGCTTCAAAGGGGGAGATGGAAATGATCAAAAGAGGTGCTGTGGCTGAAGCCCCACGCTCACCCTGTACACAAACAACTGGGGTAACGGGTGTGCTGTGTCCCTCCCTCACACACCCTGAGCCCCGTGTGTGGCCGCCTGTGCTCCCACCAGGTGAAGTGAATGGTTACCAGGAGTCAATCTGTTTGTTCCCAGGCCTGTTTGCACCAAAAGGATTTGTAGTTCTACTTGATTATGATGTGAATGAATAAAATAAAATTTTTGTGTGTGTGTGTGAGGAAGATCAGCCCTGAGCTAACATCCATGCTAATCCTCCTCTTTTTGCTGAGGAGGACTGGCCCTGAGCTAACATCTATTGCCAATCCTCCTCCTTTTTTTTTTTCCCTTTTTCTCCCCAAAGCCTCAGTAGATAGATGTATGTCGTAGTTGCACATCCTGCTAGTTGCTGTACATGGGACGCCGCCTCAGCATGGCTGGAGAATCGGTGCGTCGGTGCGCGCCTGGATCCGAACCCAGGCCGCCAGTAGCAGAGCGTACGCACTTACCCACTAAGCCATGGGGCTGGCCCCTAAAATAAATTTAAAAAGGAAGAGTTCTCTGTTTCCAGGAGAACTAGGTTAAATGCTTTGGAAAGTGAGTTGTTAAAAAACCGCTGTCAAGTTAAGTAGAAGAGACAACTATTAAGAAGTGGAAAAGGCTTACCTGGAAGGAAAGATTGATTCATAAGGATCTTTAAATCTCACTCCCCTTGAAAAAGACTGAGAATGGAAATCATGGACACTGGACTCTGGGTGTGTTTTATGGAATTAATGACCACAGGAACCTCAGAGGACCATATACAACACAAAGGCCTTGGCCTCGCCTCAAGAGTATGGTCAAGGAAAATACATTAATAGGTTGTAAATTAAGATAAAAAGTGAAAGATAACGTTTACATAATTTTTAACTCACATTTTTATTGACCAGTATCTGGTCCTAATTGCCAGGAGTAAAACGTCTGCTTTCTGATCAAAGGGAGAGAGTTTACAACTCAAATATTGTCACTCAAATAGCCACTGACCTTCGGAATGGTGGGAATCCACAGAGAAGTATGTAGGTTATCACGCCTGCTGCCCAAATGTCCACCTTCAGGCCATAGCTGGGAAAACAATGTGGGTGAACAGAGGAGAAATAATAGTACTACTCTCAGGAACTCTCCACGTTACTGGAGTACTGCCTTTGTTTGTTAGGAAAAAGGGTCTTTCAGTGCCAAACTGCTCACTTCATGTAGAGGAATTACTACCCTTTGGACAAAGGCATCTGCTTTTCTCCTAACCTAACCAATACCTCGGGGACTACTGCCATATTCCCAAGACCATTCTTGGGACAAAAGTCCAGGCTTAGGGTTCGTGGACATAGATGCAGACTGGAGCTCCTGAGATCAAAGTCACAATGCAGGTAGCAGTCTCCCTCACCCTCCACCTTCCCAGGGATACACAACAGCAGTAGCAACAAAATATACCTTTTCTCACCAAAGTTAAAGCACTAACCAACACCACCAGGAGTCTTACCCAGTTTCAGCAATGATTTCTGGAGCCACGTAAGTTGGTGTGCCACAGACTGTGTATAAAGGGCCTTCCACCACAGTGGCCAGCCCAAAGTCACCCAGTTTCAAAGATTTGGTGCCATCAGGATATTCACACACCTGGAACAGAAACCAGCCAACAATCAGGTTTTTTTTCCCTCAATGATTGCAAAAGGGCCTTTGGAATTAGGCAGAAATGACAGATACATTCACTAACAAACTCAAAAGAAATCTCTCCTTGTGATATTAACACCATGATTTATCTTCATTGTTTTAAAGCTCTAATTTTTCTCTCCAGAGATTTGCATGATTGTGTGAAATTTGAAAAAGACAGTATTTTCCACCTTTGCAGAAAGTTCCTTACTTAGGAGTATAATGAAGATGTGTGCATGCTTAGGGGCAGAGGTGGCTGCTTCTGATGTGGTTTGCAGGAAACTGACCTTTATTGTGTGCTTACTATGTCTGAGGTCCTTGAGAGCCTCAGAAATGGTGTTTATTAAGAGTCCACTAAAGCACTAGGTGTTCTCCAAGAGACTTGTGTGTTTAACTTAGAAAATAAAATTAGGACTTGTTCTCTGGACAGTCAAGGAGGAATATAAATTTTATATAGTGGAAAACTTTGGAAGTTTAGAAAGAAAATGAACTTTGGGATCAGACAGCCTGAACTTCAATAACCAACCACTCCACTCATTTTCTGGTTGTGTAACTCTGAAAGTATATAACCCAAAGGTTATATACGAGGATGCCAATCTCAGAATTTACCTATGTTTTAAAACGCTGGAACATATATGGCTAACAGGGTAATGACTTAATAAATCATGGTACATCCCTATAATAAAATATTATATAGTCACTAATAAGCACTTTTCAAATAAATATTAATCATATGGAAAACAATCACTATATTACATAAAATAAAAAGGAATTTTCAAAATTACATATATACAATATAATACACCAATATGTTAAGTTTATCTCTAGGTGGTAGCATTAAGGATTAACTTTCTTCTTTATACTTTTCAGCAGTTTCCAAAATGTTTACAATGAACAGCTATTGGTTCCATAATTAGGAAAAATTAATTTTATATATAAGCAAACTTTCCTTATGAGATAAAAGTCTGAAAGTTACATTCTAAATGGATGGTTCTGGAAGCAAACTAGTGTGTAGGAGAACATTATTTAGATTTGATTGTGTAATCTTTAATGTGCCTGTCTATTTGTCTCTTGGATGCTCATTTTGAAAACACTGCAATTCAGAGAGTAACTGCAGGCATCTAATCTGTACTCATGTCATGTCTTTCTTTTTTATATTTTTAAACACATTTAGTTTGCTTTTTCTCGTATTTTACTATGAACTGAATCAGATTTTTACCTAAACTACTACTTACTACTAAAGGAGGAGAAAAATTTAGAAAATTATGTTTTTTCAAGATAAGCATGTTAATAACGTCATCCATCAGTCTAATACTTAACGAGGGGGAGTGATTTATATAGTCATCAATAAAAAACATCAAGAACTCAGGGCTCCCCAATGCCAAGATCCCCAAACTTTATAGGCATTTTTAAAAGGATGACTCTTGAAATACCTTCCTTACTTGTGATGTCCTCATCAGTTTAAGAGGAATATTTTTCACCTTAGTATTTTAATAACTGCTTCCATGTTTATGTACTAAATATGCACACCCAACACACATCCTTATGACTTTCAAATTTCATATGATTAACAGCAAGGATTTTGAGTCCCTCACGGATATTTATCATTCTGAGTCAGCCCACAACTCAGCAGAAGCATATTCAAAACTAATGATTTAGTCTAAAGCAACAGAAACCAGCTTCTTAGTCATGCCATGGTCTCAGGACAACTTTCCATCTGTTATGTTTCATGTAAACATTAATGAGAACAATCCGAGATAGAGAATTACAGTTAGAATTTATGATGCATTTACTGAAACCCAGACTTTAGAAAGAAATTCTCTAAGTAATTGCAGTGATAAGAACATTATAATTCTAAGTGTCTGTATCACGAAAGTAAAATAAAAATTTTATTAATGTCATTGTTATTTTGTTTTTACAACTTTAAAATACACTCATTAGGTACATTTTTTGGAGAATAGTGTTTATTTTAGACATCCAATTTAGGGATGCCTAGGGGTATTTAAGGATTGTTGTCAGATACTCAGAATCCCAGAGTTGTTTTTCACATCCCCTATAAGGAATTCAGAGCATAAATAGAGAGAGACTGAATAGTCTATATTCGCTGAATTATGTCTGGGCAAGTGGTACTCCTTGGCTAAAGATCAAAAGGGAAGTGTCATAAGGGGCAGACAAGCCTGAAATAATAATATTTTATCTGATTCATCTCTCCCCAAAGACAGACCCAGAGGCAAATATGTGAAAGATAATATGACTAAATTTCAAATCTTAGCTGGAGATTCTCTTCAAAGCAGGAAAAACATATCTATATATCTATAAGTCTATATATACACACACATATTTATGATATTGCTGTAAGAGACTGACACACAGATGGCATTGCTTTAAAAGACTGATGTTAAGGAAGAGGCGAATAAACACACAGGGACTCGAAACGCCTTCTGTTCTGGCAGACAGTTCAGTTCTTCCCAGTGACTGACCTTTTCACAGGACTTTGGAGATTTAAATATTCTTCCGAACATTATCTCACTAGTCTTCTACAATCACTCATCTGGGCAATTAGGAAGAGAACTGTTATCTCCGTTTTACAGGTGAGGGAACTGAAGTTGGCAGTAGGTGGGCAAATGGGGATTCCAACCAAGACCGTTACCGTCCCACCGTACCATCCTGCCACAGACCATATCTGAAAGCAAGCGAGCAGGGCTGGCAGAACCCTGACTACAGCCTGCACCCGCATACACATTCTGAGTGGATTGAAACAATCAAGCTGTGAGAACTCCAGCCCCGTGGTGTTCAAATGCCCCACCACAAGCTGAGAGACGCTTCTGTCAAAAGTTGCTCTCAGAATGCAGAAGCAAAAAACGTGAGGAATGCAGATCCCACATACAAAGTAAACGCTGCATGTTCTCTAAATAAAATGTCAACATAATGATTTAGAAGGACTTCAAATATGAGAAACCAACCCTCTTCTCTCCCCTGTCCCCAGAACTCCTGGAAAAGCAAAATTTATCACTGGTCTCTCATAGTTAACTCCGACAGGGCACCACCAGGCTGTAACTCACAGCATTAATGGCCACCCCTGTGCTCCCTGACACAACGACCCACACATCTCTGCTGGCAGGGTTTTAAATTATAACACTGCTACCAGGGAAGGAGATGCAAATCAGATGTCTGAATGCTCTGGTGTTTAAAAACTGAATTTGTTTTTAGAGTAGGAAGAGGCTGACAGATACTCTGTATATTTACTTTTAGTGCCTCAATGGTACTTTCTCATCCTAGGCCAATGCCAACCTGCTGACTAAATCTAGAATCTGCTGAGTGGTCGGTCTAGCTAGGTTTTCAGTGGCAGACACATATTTCACTTAGATATGTGCAGCTAAGGGTTTCCGAAGCCTGACCCCACGGCCCTTCTATTTCACACATTAGCCTCATGCCGACATCAGTTTTATCATCATCTTCATTCTCCTCCCCTTCGGGTAGCACAGTGGGGTTGGTGCAGGTCTTGGAGAAGGGGTGAACACTTATCTACGGCAGGTTAGACAGATGAGGAACTTGATTCCAATTTCGTGGTTACATTCTGAGACATATCATGTTGGAGACATCAATCCCCACTATGGTATCTTCCCTTGATGCACAGCAAGAGAAAAGGATGAGGAATCAGATTCTGAGATCTTACATACATTAAGAAAATGTGAGTTGAGGGCCAGCCCCTTGGCTTAGCGGTTAAGTGCGCGCGCTCCGCTACCGGCGGCCCGGGTTCAGATCCCAGGCGCGCACCGACGCACCACTTCTCCAGCCATACTGAGGCCGCGTCCCACATGCAGCAACTAGAAGGATGTGCAGCTATGACATACAACTATCTACTAGGGCTTTGGGGGGAAAAAAAAAAGAAGAGGATTGGCAATAGATGTTAGCTCAGAGCCAGTCTTCCTCAGCAAAAAGAGGGGGATTAGCACGGATGTTAGCTCAGGGCTGATCTTCCTCACAAAAAAAAAAAGAAAGAAAGAAAATGTGAGTCGAAAAGAGAAGAAATGGGAGGTGAGAGTGGGTCAGTGAGCTGGGCAATGGACACTCCCTGGTTTACGGGAAAGTTCCCTGATATCTCAGTCACCTTGCTCACAGGGCCTTAGCAATCAGAGCTGCAATACAGGCTGGCTCCACAGTAACCAATGGTTCTTGGGGACCTGTGGCTCCTTTATCGACAGAGAACGTCAATAATTGAAGCCACTGAGGTGAGGTGGGCCATGGAGAGCTGGAAGAAATCAAGGGGGTGTCCTCATTAACACTATAGTATTTGTGTCTGGCCACATGTGGGGAAGGGCCTGTCACCATTGCTTGTGAAGCCCCTGGACAAACTCAGATGGGGGAGGAGCCTGGGTCTGACAAACACTGAACGAGGGGTCACTATGGGTGATAAGCCTGTTTTGAGGAGAGAACACCATATCTTCATCTCCATCCTGAGGCCCAGTTTACAATTCTGTCTCCATTCCTCCTGAAAGTTCATAAAACTGTGTCCATAATACATCTTGTTTTAAAGAGCAGGGATATTTATTTTCCTAATAGGAACATATAGAAATGAAACATAATTCCCTCAAGGCAGACGATGGTAAGAAAAAGACTCACATGCTTTTAAATGGACACTCAGAAATCATCAAATGGTATTACCAAAAGGGGAAAACAGATACTCTGGATTAGCAGAAAGTCCCCAGGATGACCTCAAAGCCTATACATCAATGTGTATTCCTTTCAACAATTATTTGTGTAGTGTAAGCATGAGGCAGGCTGTAAAAACTTGTGTTCAAGTATCAGCTTTTAGCTAGTTGAGTGACTGCCAGTGGTCAATCATCAACCTTTTACTCTGCATCTCCTGTGTAATTACTTGGCACGGTCCAAGGCACTGGGGATTTAAAGATAATTGAGACACAAACCTTGTGCCTATAACCTAGAGAAGGAGATAGATCAGTAAATGATAAAATCACCACAACGTCGCTAGTACAGCAGATACCAGAGGTGGCCATGACGGATTCTGCCCAGGGAGTCTTGGGTGACTTCAAAGAAGATATGCCTTTTGTTCAGTGTCTTACAAGGTGAACGTGTTTGCCATGTCGCTGGGAGAGAGGACATTGCAAACAGAAACCATTTGGACGTAAGCAATGAGCTGTAATACTGTTGATAAAGTCAAGTCATAATAACTACTGCAGATGGGGAAACCTGCACTTGGATTAACGTGATATAGAAGACTCAGATAACCTCCCCTCCCAAGCAGTAATGATGATGATACTCAGCCCTGAAAGGTGGAAACAGAGAAGTCACTGTCTGGTGTGTGCATGCAGAACTCCCCAGTCAGCTTCTTTAAAATTCCCCTACAATGTAGACACAAGGATTGGCCCAATTAGAAAGCTATGTTTAGTTATTAAGGCAATCACAAAAATGTGTTAGATATGGCTTGAACGTGAGTGCCACTTTGTCCAGATGGGTGGGGAATGGTTAGTAACAAGAGAGAAGGCTGGAACCTGGGACCAGATTATGAAGCTTTCTGAGTGGCATAGTAGAATAAGACTTTCTTCTGTAGAACAATGGGACAAGTGAGACTTTTAAGCAAGAAAATTTAGCATCTCTGGGTCTCAATTTCCACATCTGTAAAGCTGAGATGAATGGAGTAGATTATTTCAAAGTTCTGTCCTACACTTAAATGAATCCTTATGTTCTACTTCTGTCTCCTATAAGCCTCTAATTCTGTCTCCAATTTATTCTTCACAATTTTTTGCCTTATAAAACAATTTTTCTGCTCAACTTTCTTCAGTCAGCACCATCAATCAAAACGTAAATGAAAACCTGTTTTCTAATGTCTGATAAACAATGAATCTCAGCCCTGGTGGTCTAGTGGTTAAGACTCAGTGCTCTCACCACCACGGCCCAGGTTCGTTTCCCACTCAGGGACCCACACCACCTGTCTGGCAGTTGTGGTACTATGGCGGCTGCGTGTTGCTGTGCTGCTGAAAGCTAGGCCACCAATATTTCAAATACCAGCAGGATCACTGGTACCTCCAGTATCAGTGGAGTTTTCAGACTAGGAAGAGGACCTGGTCACCTACTTCCAAAAAAATAAATTGGCCATGAAAACCCTCTGAATAGCAGTGGAGTACTGTCTGATATAATGCTGGAAGGTGAGAAGATGGTGCAAAAAAACCAGGCAGGGTTCTGCTCTGCTGTACACTGGGTCACTAGGAGTCGGAATCAACAGCACTAACAATAAAAATAAACAAATGGAGAAATGCAGATCAACCCATTAATATTTTATGGTCATTGACTTCAGTCATGCTGGTTTTTAAATTTAACTTCTCTCAGTCCCTTATTGCAGGACTGGTATAGCCTCTATAATGTCACTGTTTGCATATGATTATGGTCATTTTAAAGGAAGAGAGGCATGAGTTGGAAGAGAAAAAGCAGAGATGACATACCAAGAGGTTTTCTGGCTTGATGTCTCTGTGCACAATGCTGAGGCCATGGAGATACCTGAGGGCGTTGGCCAGGTTGTACACCATGGCGCTGCCGTCCCTCTCCGTGTACTTGGTTGAAGAGGTAATTGCATCAAAGAGATCTCCACCCTAAAGGACACATAAAAGAATAAATCAAAACATCAACAGTGGCAATCCTGTGAAGGTAACAAAGAAGGCTCATTGGCCTAGAGTAGATGGAAAAAATGACACAAGTGCCATTAAAATTGATGATTATAAATAATGAAAGTCTCAAGGGAGCAAAACACTTTTAAGATTAAGTCCTTCAAGAATATAATAAGTCTTAGGATTTGGCACCATTGAAATCTCTCCATCCTCTTACTTTGACCAATTCCATCACCAGAAAGAGCTCAGTAGCCGTTTCCATTTCCTCAACCAGCATGATGATATTTGGATGTTTCACTCGGCGCAGTATTGACACTTCATTCTCAATCAGGTGCTCCTGTGAAACGAAGGGTTTAGAGAGATGGGTCAGAAATCACAGAACCCTCTGCTCTATCCCTACGTTCTGGAGAACACAGTCTGTAGACCTGATACCGAAAGCAGCATCTCCCTCGGCAGAGAGACAAACCAAACCCTAACCTAGTTGGTTTCCACAGGGACAGGACAAGTCAGTGTGACATCTCATTGTCACTAACAAAAAGAAACAGACATCCTTCAAAATATCCCTCAAAAGTGCTCAGTGGTGCCGCCCTAGCACATAAAAACATACTGCTTTCTTGTCCCTTCATTACTTCCAACATCTTTTAAGAGGTTGTGATGCTATGAATACGTGGACACACGGCACTGTGCTTTGTGATTCAGCTGGAACCACTTTTTAATTTCTGTATACACTCAGAAATAAAGACTAGACAAATAAGAAAATTTGGCATGCTTATGGCACACAACTCAGGCATTCAAATTTTCTTTCAGGGGCCGGCCCAGTGGTGCAGCAGTTAAGTTTGCGTGCTCCACTTTGGCGGCCCAGGAGTTCGCTGGTTCAGATCCTGGGCAGGGACCAATGCACCACTTATCAAGCCATGCTGAGGTGGCGTCCCACATACAGCAACTAGAAGGGTGTACACCTATGACATATAACTATCTACTGGGGCTTTGGGGAGAAAAAAGGAGGAAGATTGGCAACAGATACTAGCTCGGGGCCAATCTTCCTCAAAAAAAATTTTTTTTTTAATTTTTAAACCATTACCAATAAGAATTTGAATTTCATGTTGAAATCCATGAAAAAGAAACTTTCCTCCTCTAGGACTAGGTATGAAATCACTCACTAGAAGGATGTTCCTTATCATCTTGTATTTCAGAAATCAGGAAATATACAGTACCATGGGGACGACTATTCTCATTTTAACTCTAATCACTTCTCTGAAAACACCAGCTGATTATCCGTGCTGGTGACTAATGCAGCTGGGATCAGCACTGCAGAGAAATGTTTACTCACAGCATTAAGGAATTACTCTTAATACATCACCCATGAATCATGAACAACTACTGCTCTATTTTATGAGACATGAAAACCTCTCAATAATGTCATAATTGTTGATCCTCATTAACTGGAATAATGAATTATTTTGAATTTAAGGTATGCTCTATAAAATTAACTAATTGCCCTGTGACATATTTTAGGTACTCAAATATAGCTTTTATATAAAAGTTACCTTATAAGAGATATCATTTGCTACCTAAAGACATATATATGTATACATCCCTATATACATGTGTATGTGTGTGTGTGTGTCTGTGTGTGTGTACTTCCCATATTGTCCCTTTTGCCTTTGCTATCATGAATCTCAGGACTAAACTTAGTGTTCCACTGCAGTAGTAAGATAATTATCTCTAGTTTGAGATACCATTTATGGTTCCTCTCCTATCTTCATGCATCCAACGTATACATGTATTTTTACTCTAAGTCACCTCAAATACTTTTCGACCACAGATGAAGTACAAATTATAACAGATGAATAAATAACATCCAGAGAAAATCTGTTGTAAGCTCCTGCACACGGTGGGCCATGTTTCTTGAGCACTGACTGCATTGTGCTTGTCCCAGTAGTCACTCAGTAATTATGCTGGCAAATGACAGTGCAAATGCTAAACAGAAGTAAGGGGAAAAAAAGAGCCGACATTTACCAGGAGTCTAGTCAGTATTTGTCAGTCACTGTGCAAAGTGCTGGTATAATGTCTTAATACTTTATTCTCAGAACAGTCCTTTGAGGCGGAATGCAAACCTAGGTTTCTGACAGGCAAGCTCACATTTTGTGTCCTACACAACATCACCTTTCAAAAGGGAAGCCTTTAGTAGAAGCTGGGAATTTTCAAAATGAAAATGATAGCTGTAAAGCTGAAACTATTTAATGCCTTGAAAAGACAAGAACAGAGGCAGTATCCTAGTGAGTTGAGTCAAGAGAGAACCACACCACGCTTTGTGCAGGGAGGAGAATCGACACGCATTAATGAGCGGCACTGGGACTTCTCTGCCCAGTTTAGGACTCAGCAAATGCTGCCAAATCTCCTGGAAGAACGGCAGTTCTCAGACAGTAACAAACCACATCTGGGAGGCTGGGGACAGGGACGCCTACCTGCTTCCAATCCCATATGGCTAAGTCACAGAGCAGCAGCACAAAGCAGCAGACAGCGCCCTGGGCCCTCCCAAGGGAAGCAGGTGCACAGCCAACCCCTTGTGGTCACAGAGACAAACACTCCCCATTTGTACGCTTATTTCAAAGCCTTTGAATCATCGGTACCAAGCATACCCTCCTCATACTAACAAGCAGCATCAGATGTACTTTTGTGAACATGTAAAGGCGAGCAAATATTATTTCACTCTACGTGCAGCCAAGATGACAGTAGTTACTACCACTGTAGTAAAATAAACATTTTATTTTACAGCTAAATGGATCTATCACTTCAGTTCTCCTCCCTCCTCCCCATTTCCTCCGAAGTTAGAAGAGTCTATAAATTTACCTCTATTTAAGGGCTCTGCTTGTGATACTAATTTAGAGGACATAATCCCCACCACTAATACCCTAAGGATTCTCAAATTGGAGTTAAAATAGGATGTCTACCAACTAAGAGACGACACTTCTGAAAAGTTATCTTTTCTCAATAAAAGGCACAACAGAAAGTCTTCTGGGATGTATTGTGGGACCTCCCCCAGGACCACCAGCAGTGTTACATTTCAAATATTGAGCGAGTACTGCAGCAACATTTTCTCCACCATTATTTATTATCTCAACTTACTGTATTCTACTCGACAACGGTTAGTATTCTAAGCACATAGTGAGTGTTTTGTCGGGATGTGGGAGCTGTTAGCCTTTGTTTCCCAACCTCCGACTATGCCTGCAAAACTGTCTATGAAGGAACAATCCACTATTGAAACTAATCATCATCAGAAGCAAAACAAACATAGTGCATAAAAATCTCTAAAATATTATCTTCCTATTTCTTATGCAACCCATATGTGATCCTTGTTTCTAATAGGTAAAAATACTCTCTAGATTACATTTTCCAGGAAAATATTTCTAAATACAATATGCATATCACTTTTGTCTTGAACCACACTGAACTTACATCAATCATCTACCATTATTTATGTTAAGTGATGCATGATTCTAACTGCAAATAATTTACATATGAATCATTTCATGGCAGCATTCCATGGTTCTGTGTGAGAGTAAATGACAAAGAGAACTGCTAACTTGGCAAAGGATACAGCCTTATCTTTGGCCATGGTGGTTTTTAAACGTACAAAAAAGAGAGAGAAAGAGAGAGAGAAATGGATTAGAGAATAAACGGCTCTCCCAAACCAATCATCTTGTCTCCACCCTTCCCAGCCCTACAAAGCAGTCCTGTCTCACTGAACAAACGTGACTGCCCAAAGCGGATGGGAATTACCTCACCTCCACCTTCCTTCATCCTCCAGTACAGTCAATCAATCACCAATCCCCGCCAGGTCTACCTTCTCAATAGCCTCTGAATCCACCCATTCACTTCTATCCCTATTGCCAGTCTCTCTGCCTAGACCTCTAGGCATTTGCACAGGTAGTTTTCTCTGTCTGGAACTTTCTTTCCCCACTTCTTGGTGAACTCCTATTTATTCCTCAGGACCAGACTAGATCTCACCTCCCCTAAATAGCCTCCCCTGCTCAACCATGGCTGGGTTAGGTACCCCTCTTATTTGCTCTCATTGGCCCCTGTGCTTGTTCTAACCACAGCCCTCACTCTGCTGTCATGGAGGTTTTTGTTTACCTTGCTTTCCAGCAACGAGCATAGTTCTGAAGTGCTGAGTGCATGAATAAACACATCCTGTATTGCTCTTGGCCAACAGTGGCTTTACAGCTGGTATCTACACTGCTTAGTGAGTATTGCTGAGGATAATTCAGTAAGAGAGAGAAAATGTTCAAATCACTATATGTGACTTCTGTGGTTGATATACATAGCAGATTGAATAATAGCCACCCAAAGATCTCAAGTTCCAATCCCTGGAACTTGTAAATATTACCCTACTTGGAAAAAGGGTCTTTGCAGATGTGACTAAGGACTCTGCAGTGAAGAGATACTGGACTATCTGAGTGCCACCATAATTGCCCTTACAAGACTGAGGCAGAGGGAGATTTCACAGACAGAAGAGGAAAAACAACCACAAAGAAAAGAAAGTGATGTGAAGATGGAGGCAGAGATTGGAGTGATGTGGTCACAAGCCAAGGAATACCATCAGCCACCAGAAGGTCTTTAGAGGCAAGGAACAGATTCTCCCTTGGAGCCTCCAAAGGGAGTGCAGATTTCAGACTTATGGCCTCCAGAACTGTGAGAGAATAAATTCTGTTGTTGTAAGCCACCAAGTCTGTGGTTATTTCAACAGCCTCAGGAAACTAATACAATATACATTTGGATTTATGTGCTGCGTGGGCCTGTAACATGTAGATAATGAATGCAAAACTGGGAAGAGAAGAAAGGATCACTTCTAAGCACCATAAGAGAAAGTTCAGAGCTTCGTACACTGGGAATTCAATAAATATTTATTTAGAATGAATATTATTTAGAATATTAGACATGGAAGAATTCTTAAATTTACAAATACCATAGCCTTCTCAACAGCCTCCATAAATCTAGCCCCAAGGCAGACGCTGCAATAATCTCTTTCTTAGAAGAACTCAACATGCTTTCTGTCCTTTGGGCCTTTGCTCGCCACCTGGAAGGCTTTTCTCTCATTGCTGCCTATTGAAATCCCACCCACCACTCAAGGTCCAGCTCAAATGCTTCTCGCTCTATGGTGTCTTCACTAATCACCTACTTCTCTCTCGTATGCTTCCTCCAAACTCCCATAACACTCTTTGCAGAACATATTAATTTAAATGTTAAATTACCCTATTCCTAGCAAAGTGTCTTGCACAAACATCAAATTTCAGGTAAATGAGTAAATTAATCTAATAATGCTCATGTATATTACAGAAAAGCAAACAGAAGGCCAGAAGGTTAAGAATTTTTTCCCAGGTTCTTTTATTACATAAACAAATGAATGAACTGAACCTGGAGAGGGAACTGGTGAATTGGCCAATGTACAGGCTGTGTAACCAACTAGCCCAAAATTCCAATCACTGCTCTGCCTCTGTGTGGCTTTTGGGAAGCTATTTAACTTGAACCTGTTTCTTCATCTGTAAAACTGGTACATCTGTTTTGCAACTCATTCAAGGTAATGTGCAAAGCTCCTATATGTCCAAGCCTGGATAGATAATACATTTTAATAAATAGCAGATATCTTCAGCATTATAATTTTCTGTGTACAATCCACAAAGCAGAGGTGACCAACAATGTCCCAGAACAGTGGCTTAATGCTTTCTCTGATATTTTGTCTTAAAAAACAAATTCTAGGGCCGGCCCCGTGGCTTAGCGGTTAAGTGCGCACGCTCTGCTACTGGTGGCTGGGGCTCGGATCCCGGACGCGCACGGACGCAGAGCTTCTCCGGCCATGCTGAGGCCACGTCCCACACACAGCCACTAGAAGGATGTACAACTATGACATACAACTATCTACTGGGGCTTTGGGGAAAAAAGAAAAAGGGGGAGGAGGATTGGCAATAGATGTTAGCTCAAAACCCGTCTTCCTCAGCAAAAAGAGGAGGATTAGCATGGATGTTAGCTCAGGGCTGATCTTCCTCACAAAAAAAAAACCAAAAACAAATTCTAGGGGCCAGCCCCATGGCCTAGTGGTTAAGTTTGGTGCACTCCACTTCAGCAGATCAGGTCAGTTCCCAGGTGCAGACCTACACCACTCAGTGGTGGCCACGCTATGGGGGCAATCCACATACAAAACAGAAGAAGGTTGGCACAGATGTTAGCTCAGGGCCAGTCTTCCTCAGCAAAAAAAAAAAAAACTCCAATAAATTCTATACCATTTTTTTCTAAAAATAAAATTTAATGGGAAAAATCAACTAATTTGGAACAAATCAAGTTCTAAAATTATAATTTTACATAGTCAATATGGAAATAGTTCTTCAGACAAAAAAATGTAAGGATGGAAATAAATATATGGTCATGAATTATAAAAATAGAATGACATTCAATAACAAGGAAAAACAAGATCCAAACGTTTGAAGTGACCTATTAATTTGCCTCCAAACTTACTATACCAAACTGAACTTTTTTGCATATAAAGATCTTTTTCCAACTACTGAGACACCTGATTAAATTTTAATCAGGTAAACAATATCCCTACCATAGGAAATTTTCTTTCTTTCTTTCTTTTTTTTTTTTTGCTGAAGAAGATTTGCCCTGAGCTAACATCTGTTGACAATCTTCCTCTTTTTTTGCTGGAGGAAGATTAGCCCTGAGCTAGCATCTGTGCCAATCATGGGATTCGAACCCATAAACCTAGGCCGCCAAAGGAGAGCACACTAAACTTAATCACTACGCCACGGGGCTGGCCCCTTTCTTTACTTTTGTGAAAAAATACTTCAATACTGTTGTTTAGAACTTGGCTCCCAAAATTATGACACATTCTGCTTAAATCACCCAATACCAGACTAAGCAACACCTACTTACATATGGGAAAAAGGCTTTGCCGTTGAAAAATTTATTAATATTGTTAGAAGAATAAGTAAAAGCACATAGAATTATTTAAAGAAAATAAAATTTAGAAAAGCCTTACTTATTCAAAGAAAAAGTGGGCATTTTGCACAGTCTCTGCTTCATTAGCTGTCACAAGGTGCTAAAAAAAAGTATATCACAAATTTGCCTCTTGAATTTTCCATCCCAGGACTTTGAGAAGATTTTTCTAAAACTTTATCATAATAAAATTATTTTAATTTTTCTGTTAAAAATACACAATTTTGTAAATGTCCAATGAAGACTAGTTTAGGAGTTCCATAAATATAAAATTACTACTATCACATCAAATCTTCCTAATTATAAATTCCAAATTCCTCTGGCATATTAATAACATTAACAGTTAACATGTATTAAATTCTTATTATATACTGGTACTTTTCTACGTGTTTTCCATGCCTTAACTCAATTAATCCTCAGCATAACCTTATGTCTTAGATATTATTATTAACGACATTTTAGAGGGAGAAACAGAGGTTCAGAGTGGTTAAGTAATTTTTCCAAGGTCACACAGCAAAAAGAGGCAGAGCCAGGATTAAACTTTATACCATCTGGCACTAGAGCAACATTGTTCAACAGAAATGTAATGTGACCCACACGTGTAAATCTAAATGTTCTAATAGCCACATTAAAAAAATGTAAAAAGAAGCAGGTAAAATTAATAATATAACTTACTGAACCCAACATATCCACAATACTGTCATTTCCACATGCAATCAAATACAAAAGACATTAATGAGGTATCTTATACTCTTTTTTTAGTACTAAGTCTTCAAAATCTGTTGTGTATTTTACACTTAAAGTACATTTCAACTCAGACTAGCCACATTTCAAGTGCTTGGCAGCCACACGTGGCTAGTAGCTCCAGTGTTGGATAGAGAGTTCTAGAGCCTGCTCTCTTAACTGCCACACTACCAGAAAGGAATCCAAAAAGGTCTCTGTCGTCATAGTTACAGAATATTTATCTTTTCAAACAGTCAGAATATCAGTACTCCAGCAGCATTTCATCATTTGATCTTTTCCCAGCCCCAGCCTGAGAGTGGGACAGAAGAAAAAAATTCATCTGGTTGGGGAGAAATTCTTCATGGTGTTTCTGCACATCTTGCACCATCTTTTGTTACAAGGATATTTGTATAGCAAAGACCCTTGAGACAGAGAGATAAGGTCTTCCTCAGGGAAAGAAGGCAGATCTGTTTCCTGACCATGATAATAAAAAGAATGTTCTCCTCCGGGGCAAAGGTTAGGCAGATTTTCTAGCAGCCCTCTCACAAGATTGGAGGTTTACTAAGCTGGGGAGCCTCAGCTGTGACACTAACCTATGGTGTGGACAGCAACCAGTGAGGGCCTCTGCATCACTTGTGTGGAGCTGGGAAGTTACAGGGAACCAATGCAAACACGGAGCGCATGCTGCCTGCTGTGCCATAAATGACAGTCTTTTGTCTCTGACTCAGGAATCTTGTGTCTTCTGCCAGCATCTATAAAGCTGGAAGGCTGACTTGTTAGTTTGAAAGTAGGGTAACGTCTCCAACTCCTCACAGTTCTCGACACATCTTTTGAGTGCTGCTGGTTTTGAAATAGGCGTCTCCCTGAGAAGAGAACTTATACTTTCTATAGCTAGGACCAAATCAACTCAATTTATCGTTTTAGGATTAAAGTTTTTAAAAAATGGCAGGAAAAAAAGACTTGATAGTGTTTCCCCCATTATTATGAGCCGTCTATTCCTGTTATGATCTTGTCAAATCCACATTTAAATTCCTTCTCCGCAGTAAACATCTCACCAAGTTTTTTCAGTTTCTTTTACAAAGCAGTTATGTGTACTGTACCTTTCCACAACATTTGGCTTTGTCTATAATCTTTAGGGCAAACTCCTTTCCAGTGGACCTATGGAATAACCAGAAGAAGGTCACTTAAAGACATAAATCAAAGATACCATCATTCCTGATTTCCACTACAGCACAGACTCAGGGAAGAAAGATTGGCTTCCTCCTCTGTACATCAGAGACAATGTTGAGCGGGGTCAGGGAGAAAGGTACCCCCAAAAAGAAAGAAAATTCAAAGCCTCACTGTCAATCTCTTTTTATAAATATTAATAATTACAATATTAGTAAATATCTCACATAGTAAAAGTACTTAAACTCTGTTGCATCAGAGCTGGACAAAAAACTGTTTTTCCATACTTAAATTTCAAAAGAGTTCTCCTAGGAGGCAGAATAAAATTAAGAAAAATGAATCAAAGTAACTAAAATGTTCTATTATCAATACACCCTTACATTAATCCATTAGTTACTGAGTCCATTATTCAAAACCGAAAAGTCCCTAGGACTGCCAGTATCTACTTCTCAGCCAAAACTCCATCTGGTGCCACCTTATCCATACCTTTAAATGCTCATATCGGGTGGTAGAGAGATCGTTTACTTGGACTCAAGAATCTTGATGTTATTTAACTTTCAATCATCTTTAACATAATTTAATCTGAACATGCCAAGAACCAGCTTTTAGTAGAGGAAAACAGTTCATCAAAGAACACTGCAGTGTTCTTGGAATACATTAGCTCCCTCAAGAGCAGCAGCTTTTGCCATGTGGTCATAGTACACTCTGATGAGGCCTACTTGGAAGAATAACTTTTATTTAAATTGCTTCCCCATAGCACAAACCAAACCCTGCCTCAGATTTCTAACAAGTCTTTAGAAGTCATAGTTTAGATGCCTAATTTGTTATCTGGGTGGCAAACTGTGCACCAGAGCTAGGTAGGTCAGAGGACAGGGAGTTACCTTGTGCACCAATATAAAGATCACTAAAGCCTCAATGGAGATGTGGCAAATGGAAAAACTGTAGTTACCAGAACTTTCTGGAAAATTCCCCACAAACAATAAAAATTACCACTTACAACAGGTAGGATAGCGGTCTATAAAACACAAAGACTCTAATCTGAGTCTTTTCCTGTTTTCATATTGCTTACAAAAAGCTTGGAATTTAAAAGAATAGATTTCTTACCATTTAGTACCTAAACAAAATAAAGCTGAACAAGCAAAAATATAATTTTAATACAGGCAAAAGTGTGCTGATTCTGATCCTAAATAGAGTCAGAGATCATGTATCCTGAACTACTAGTATATATAATTAAATATTAACTTAGAGGGTTACCCTGGGGATTAAATGAGTTAATACAAGTACAGTACTGAGAACAGTGCCTGGGGCACAGGTAAGTGCTATGGGAGATTTTTTTTAAATGAGTCTTCTCTCCCATTTCTCTCTGGCTCATGGATGAGACCTAATACATCTCTTGGCCCAACCACATACAAAGCAGGTTTATACTCTGTGTGTATATGTATATTTTTCCCTGTCAAATTGCCTGTGGGCATGCAAAACAGCTGATCTCAAAGGTAGACTCTTTCAGGAAGGGGGACAAAGAGACTTAGAAGAATAAACTCCAAGGGAAAAATGTATGCGTAGGTGAACAAATGATTATCCTCACTATCCACTCACCTGTCCATGCACTCTTTGACTACTGCAAAATTGCCGTCACCAATAACCTTCCCAATTTTGTATTTCTCAAGAAGAGTTGATGATTCAGAGCACCTGTTTCCATTCACACCTGCAAAAAAGGATAAACAAACATATCAGCATTTCATTAATGCCTACATATCTGTAAAATAACAAATTGCAATGCATTTATTTCTAAATCTGTGATGAAACTAAAGAAAAATCTCTGAGCATATTTTCTGAATAGAACACCTGAATCACCAAGTTCCTTTTGACCTTGTCGGTTGGCATCAGAAACCAACAATCAATAAACCTAACAAATCCCTGAAATACCAGCTGAAATAAGTAAAAGTAAGCGTAACTAAAACTTTGTAAACTTTTTTGTCAATTCTCGAGAAAGGGGAAGTGGATGATGATGGGGATTTAATGTCAGCAATTTTCTCAAGATTTTTCCTAAGGATTTTCCAGTAAAGAAAACTCTAGCCAGCTAGGATGCCATGTTAAGGCTAATTCCCAGCTCAAAGTCTTTTGAAAAAGTGGAGGGAGGAGGACAGGAGGAGGAAGTGATTAAGTTTGACTGCTTTTCACAACGTATTCCCAGGGCCTAGCACAGAGCACACATAAAATAAAGAAACATGCTTTTGTTACCTAATTGAGAGAAAGGAAAGTCTACATCTAGGAACTGTGAGTAGATTGCCACTAAGGAAAAATAAAAGAAGCCCAAGTCTAAAATTTAAAATAGGGATAGCTTAATTAACAACAAGGAGATTTTGTATATCTTGAAGTGACTCCCGCCCACTAAGGCTAAACAGACTAATTGGTGACATGATCACATCCCTGTTTCGGAAGATCATAATTTAGCACAAGTGGGTTTTGGGTAGCCACCAAGTTTACATGGATGACTTCCTTTATAAAAGTAATCATCAATTTGAGGACTACCTTCAGGACTCATGCAACGATCAAGTTCAGGTCCACCATTTACATTGGAAGAAGACCTGCCGTGTCCAGAAACCTGCTGAAAAGAGGAGAGTGACCGTTATTTATCAGGATAAATTTATAAATCTTTAGCTGGCTAATCTTTAGATAATAGAAAATGCTTATATAATATAAAAATACAATGATACAGAAAGAGGGGAAGCACTCCCTTTCTTCTCATCTCACTTCTCTCCCTATATACATCATATTAATGCATTTCTTCCTTAGATACAATATTTTCAATTCAGATTAGACATCAGGAAACTGACAGCGTGTTACTCTCTTCGATACTGTGTTACTTTTGACCTCAATGAAATAAAGTAAAGCAGACGTTCATGGGCTCACAGCCGAACAAGGTACTCATTAGTGGCAAAATAAGGCTCAGAACTACAGATAATTCCAAGAAATATCAGCACTGAGTCCCCAGATCCCACGGCCACCCCTGTGGCTGACCTCGGGGAGTCCCTGCCAAGGTGAAACCTGTCTCAGAACTCCAGCTCCATGCCCAGGACTGTATCACCTTCCACATCCTCCTGGGGATTCCAGATCCGAATTCAGCTGTAGCTCTAGCCTGTTCTTTACCGACCGACCCTAAGACAGCAGGAATTCCTCCTAGGCGCTATAAGAATTTTTACTACCAGGAACCAGAGGGAAATGAAAGATAAAACTAAAAGATAGGTTCCACTTCAACAAAGCTGAAATTCCCAGCCTAACACAAAAATATCTCTAGTTCTTATGCGAATTGAAAAACTCCTATTACGAGTATTATTCATATTAAGCTTATTATTCCATAGGCTTAGAGAATTTTTTCTTAATCCCCAAGGACTCTGAGACTTTTGAACTCAACTTTTCTCTTTGATCTTTAATTTTCTTTCTTTTTTTAAAAAAATTATTCCTTTCAGGAGCGTACAAGGTGAAAGGACTTACCCAAATATTGAGAAGCATCTTCGACATTTTTTGTACCACTGTGCTTACGTGTTTGCTTCTATGCCTAAATTATTCCAGTAGCTCCTGCCCCATAATGCTGTGCCTTATTCATTATTGCATCCCCCATATGCAGCACAGTGCTGGTACACACAGTACTTAATATATACTTGCTAAATGAAAGCATAAATGACGCAGGTCCAGGGCAGGCAACTGCCCTTCCTGGAGTGCCCACAAGTTGGAGACACTGAGTCCACTCTCTTCCTCTGGGTGAAGTGGAGAACTTCACAGATGCTGAGTTTGGTTTAAAACCCAGGAAAGCCCACTACTTATAAACATTCCTTCAAACAGGATCACCCAGAAGTCCTTGGAGAATAAAATCCGAGCTTCAAGAACAAAAGCCATGTAAAAACTGGGCTGTTTTCTCAGATCCCATGTAATCACACCTTGTGTGGACAGTAAAACCAGCAGCAGCGTGTCCTGTTAGGAAACCCAAGACAACGGAAAAACAGTGCTAAGATATCCTGAATCAGCTCCCCTCCTGCATGGCAAACACACTTCTCTTAAGGTCTCATCTCCTTCACTCTGACAGAGCGAGTAGTTGTGTGGGAGCGTGGGAGTGCGTGTGGGGCCCTTTCTGGCCACCCCTAACCTGATGGAAATGCTGCACTCAGCTAAACACCTGACTCCTTAGAATTCAATCATTTTGGGCCGGCCCCATGGCTTAGTGGTTAAGTGCGCGCTCCGCTACTGGCGGCCCAGGTTCAGATCCCGGGCGCGCACCGACGCACCGCTTCTCCAGCCATGCTGAGGCTGCGTCCCACATACAGCAACTAGAAGGATGTGCAACTATGACATACAACTATCTACTGGGGCTTTGGGGGGAAAAAAAGGAGGAGGATTGGCAATAGATGTTAGCTCAGAGCTGGTCTTCCTCAGCAAAAAGAGGAGGATTAGCACAGATGTTAGCTCAGGGCTGATCTTCCTCACAAAAAAAAAAAAAAAGAATTCAATCATTTTGCTTCCTCACAACACAAGGTAGACAATCAAAGTCTTTCAAAATCTGGCATTTTCATTTGTTCGGTTGTTTTATTTGTTTGCGACCTAAATTGAAGGTAACTCCAAAATCAGTAGAACTCTATACTAGAATGTTTAAAAGCTAAATTGTTTAAAATCAAGGCCCAGAGACGGGACTGAAAGGAAAGCCGAAAAGAAAACCACAACACTCACTACTCTGTTCCGTTTCCATAGCGACCACCCTAGTCCTGGTCCTCCTTAGGCTTCTCTTGGCACCTCATCAAAGGCCTCCTTACTTACTTTCAGTCTCACCCATCCCACTCATTACTGCCAGAGAACTTTCTCCAAAGGATAGTTCTGATATCACCTCTAGGATCCAAAAACCTCAGCAAGTCATCATCACCAATAGAATAACCCCCAAATCTCAGCACGGCATTCAGGCCATGATTTGTCCTACCTACCTACCTGCCCATTTTGTTTCCCACCACTATTTTTCATGCATTTTACATTTTTTAAAAATTTTATTTTTCCCGCAAAGCCCCAGTAGATAGTTGTGTGTCATAGCTACACTTCCTTCTAGTTGCTGTATGTGGGACGCGGCCTCAGCATGGCCGGAGAAGCAGTGTGTTGGTGTGCACCCGGGATCCAAACCCAGGCCCCCAGCAGCGGCGCGCACGCACTTAACCACTAAGCCAAGGGGCCGGCCCGCATTTTACATTTATAGTGACTCAATTTTTTAAAAATTGTCTAAACTTTCGAAGTCAATTTTCTTTTTCAAGTCAATTTTCTGCTCTGAAAATAGCGAACAGCACCTAGCTCACATATTTGCTAGAGAATTAAAATTAGCTCATACATAAAATCCTTTAGCACAGCCACTGACATGTAACACTAACTCAATATTAGTTATTAGCATCTTTCCTTAAAACATTGCACAGTCTTGAAACGAGTGACTGAGAAACGTTTCTGAATTGTTGAATATACAGTGGCTATAAGAGATCTTTTGCTAAATAATTTATTCCAAGTCCGTTCCTCTTCTAATCCAACCCTTCCTAGACTGAAAATTGTCAGTCACGGAAATAAGAGATCCAATTAAATTCATATCAGTCAAATTCTTAATGGAATAAAGATAAGAAGAAGGTCATTTCTTGGAAAGTTATACCTCAAAGGTAAATGGAAAGATCCCTTTTGATCATTGCTTACCCCAAGATTACAGTAGTGGGGGAGGTGGACTCTCAATGCCTGCATGACAGTGGGCAGTGATCAGCTTACCTGCATGTCTAATTCTCACAGCCCAGAACTGGGCAGCCCCACATCCTCAGGCCACAGCTGACTGGGTCAGGCTTGGGCACCAGGCAGGAATCATCTCTCCTCCCAACACTCAGAGCATAGGGAAGCGTGCAGTGTGCAGACCCCACATCCACTGCTGAGGTCCTAAGACCTGCCTTTGTCCCCGCCCTCCCCAGGCACGCTTGCTCAGCTCTTCTGGAAGCAGGTAATGTTCTTCTAACAAGTCCCTTTCTTGAGCTAATCTGAGCAAGTTTTGGTTTACTGCAAGCTGATGTGTTTTGTGTGATACAAGGGCTCTCTAGGAAGGAAGACTCAGAAGGAGCTAAAATGCAGGCATTTTTACCTCCTTGTGCATTTTCACATGGATGGTTGACTCATCGGAGTGTTTATTAATTGATTCCTGTGAACCACCGTTAACTTCCCCAATGTTTATTTTGATTAAACCCCCACTCCCTCCTATCCTGATTCCCTGTACAATCCAGTAATTACAAACTTGGTTTGTGTTGGGATTTGGAGGCGGCAAGGAGCAGGGAAAGAGACCAGGAGACAGAGCAGGTGGGGGAAGCTGCTTCCCTGACAACTAAGAGAGAGCGGCACCTGAGCTGAAGCCTGGGGCCTCAGAGGAGGAGGCACCTCGTGGAGAGGGCGAGGGTGGAGGGCATAGGGCCAAGTGAAGGGCTACTTTCATGTGTACCTGACAAAGGTTTCACTAAATCACCAGGAAATGCAGCTTTCTTAGCCAATGATGATGGCAAGAAGAACCTTTTTCAACTCTCAAATCAAATGATTTTTTTAGTGTTAAACCTCAAGCATTAAAAAAAAAAATTTTAAAACCTATATGGAGTAAACAGGAATGACTTATCTAATTATCTATCCAAATATGTTCCCTTTTTTGAAAACAAAGCTTTCATGAAGAAAATGAAAACATGAAAAAATAAAGGGAATCATTCTATGATAGCACAGCTGAATAGACAGAGACATCATTAGACACAGGAACAATTTTCCTTTCCTCCCTCAGCAACAACCTGCACTGGATTTTTAAAGGATACAAAGATGAAGGGACAGTCATTACCACCCAGAAGTTTACAATCTCATGAGGCAACATATGCGTACACTAAACCCTTCCTCGAAACCTCTACATTCCAGGATATGGCTTCTAAGGTTCCAAGGGCTACAAACGACTCTGAAGATCCGTGACAGGGAGCCATTTTGCTGAGGCATGAATCTGTGCTTGTAACACTTGAATCACACAGCTAGTGATTACGTTCACTTGACCTCCCAATAATGAAGCTTGGTGCTCCAAGGGTACAAGAAAAGCTGGGTATTCACAAGCTCTCTGGACAGATCCCTGGCAAATGTGAAGCGTCTACTGTGAAATATAAAGCAGAGCATTCCCAGAGCTCTGGGAGACACGCAGACAAAGAGCAATGAAAACATGGGCTAAAGCTATGACTCTACAAAATTCTCACTGTTTCCCAGGCACAATTTATGTATTTCCCTGTCTCTTGTAAGAGAATTATTCTCTTATTGAATCAAGGATTGAATTAGCACCAGAGAGATTAAAATATGGCATTCCTGATTAAACCTGTCCCATTTCTATTGTCAAACTAACAATTTTTATTAAAATCTTTTAAAATGCTAATGAGCATTCACGCTCCCATCAGCAACTATGATGCTGAGACAGCACAAAGAAAGTGCCTAGATGCTGCAATGTTAGCGAGATCCTCCTCAATGAAGCATAAATGGATGGCAACATCTGGACTCTTTCAAGATATCTTCCATAATTATTAACTGGTTCAAAAAGATGAGATT